GGGGTCTTGGATTTTCGAACCGAAGGACCTGCAAACATTTATGAAAGAGGTTACCTTTCTGTACCCGTTTGGAGAGGCGGATCTGGAGGAGGAGGAAGAGAGGCCTTCTTTGAACTGTTGTTGATCGAGCTCGTGTTCTTCATTCACCCCGATCTTGAGTGCTGGTTGCGTCACGACGGCGTCGGTTGCGATGCCGTTGGCTCCCACTGTGGTCGCCAGCTTGTTTGCGGAAAAAGTTGCTGTATTCATTGCTGCATTCATTACAACTTCAATCGTTACAATGAAATAAAAAGATAGCCTTTTTATAAGACCGGTACACAATGAAAACAAAAGAAATACAACTCTTTTCAAACAAACGCAAGATCTGTTTGTCATCTCTTGCTTGCGTGGGTCTTTTGCCTGTGACGGGGATGTTGATATCCGTGGACCACCGGGGCACTCAGATCTGGTCCGAGAAAATCGGGCAGAGTTTCGTCTATCCGCGGGGGGATTTTAGAAACTCTGAACTTCGTCGATCTGCGTGAGATCTAGAAGTTTACAGCTCCTATCTCGGATAATCGAGATATTCGCTCTACTTAGTATCACCGCTAAGGGGCAACACTAAGGAAAATAGAAAGGGGAATGAAGAAGGAGGCTCCTTTGCTGCAGAAGGCTCGCTCACTCCTCGATCCGGCAGGGCTTCGCCGCTCTCTTAGAAAACCCCGACTCCTTCCTCCGGCAGGGCTTCGCCGCTCCTCTCTGGAATTTCAGATCTCAAAGGCTAGAGCTCTAGATCTGAAATTCCTCTCCCAAAACCAAGGCCAAGAGAATGGAGGCCCTAGGGGCCTATTTATATCTCGGAATTTCCGAGACACCCCTAGGGTGTCTCGGGATTTCCGAGACACCTTGGGGTGTCTCGGAAATTCTGAGACACCCCTGGGGTGTCTCGGAATTTCTGAGACACCCCCTGGGGGTGTTTTGGGAATTCCTGAGACCCGTAGGTGTATTTGATTGTTTTTTCCCCGTAGATTCTTCGTCCGAACTCGGATTTGAGTGATTCCAATTGTGTTGGATGCTTGACGAAGAGTTCGATCCGCTCTGGTGGTTGAATTGTCTGTAGAGTGGCCGAGGCATGAAGGGCGTTGTCCTTTTTATGAACAGTGCCGGGTTCCCGATTGGTCCGGGTCTTCGTTGTTCCGAAATCCTATCAGCTCACGTAGTTCGTCGATTCACTTCAGTCGTTTGTCGACGTCAGTTGGACTCCTGTGGCTCGGATAGTGACGTTCATCGTCGCTCTTTAACACTGAACCGTTCGTGGAGACCTATAGGCAATTTTCGATGCCTACAAAATTGAGTTGATATTAAGTACATGTTTTTCTTTCTTTTTAATTCTGATGCATATGTGTAGAGAAATAAAGGCAAATACCTTTTACTTTTAGTTCTTTTCGTGAGCACATGCCTTTGCTATGAGAATTGCAGCTCAAATTTCACGTCGGTGATCTTCTGGTTATCAGAAGTAAATATTCCTTCAGTTCAGGAAATTTCCACAGGTTTGGGAAGCGTTAATCAAGTTATCAGAAGAGAAGATTATTTCTTCTACCAATTATATGTTATCCTTCATGCAATTTGTTGTCCCTGGCCCTGATTCATCTTGATTGCGATTTACACTAAAGCCTAATACCTGCATAAGTTCCTCAGTAACCCTAGCTTGCTGATTACAGTATATGTTGAGATATCTGACAGATAAATTTCTGTATATTTTCTGATTGCAGGTTGAACTACTTATCTTCTGCATCAGTTACACCAGATGAAATAGTCAATAAAGATGCTGATCAGTGAGCGAAACTGCTGCGTTTTGGGGTCACAATGCTGATCAGTGAGCGAAACTGGTGACAACAAAACACTGTTAAGTCAGGCTCGGCCACCTGCGTCGCTGCGCAGAATTCTGAACCGATCATCGTCTTGGTCCGTGTCATTGTCCATGGTCTTAAACATCCATGACAAGTTTCGCTGCCCGATAATTGTATTTTTTTTTTGTAAATTTGGAGATGGGACAGTTAAATTTTTTGTAAATTGTAATTACATTTTTTGTAAATTTGGAGATGGACTATGATAATATCAATCAAGTTCCTAACTATTTTGTTGTAAACTTGTGTATATTCTCTTTATTTACTTGTGTTAAATTCTTTGATGCTAGTTCTTAGTTTAGATTATTTTGTGTCTAAAGAGTTGCATCGATGTATTTTTGTTTGTCGATATTTGCAATTCGTTGAAGTACATTTAAATATTGAATATGTCTTTGAAATAAATCCATGTTGTAAGTAGAGAGAGTTTTTGTCTAAAGAGCTTGCAAGAAGTGTTCTTTTGTGTATGTATAAAATTTTTTACTAGTTATGTGTGTTAGGATATGTCTTTTATTAGATAAACGGGTTATTCGGGTTATATGGGTCGGGTCGGGTAACCCGTTTAATAATTGGGTCGAATCACATTGACCCATTTATTAAACGGGTCGGGTCGGGTCACACTTATACGGGTCGGGTCAAATTTTATATGGGTCGGGTCGGGTCGACCCATTTGCCACCCCTAATGTGGGGGTATTTATAGGAACCCCAAAGCCAAGAGAAAACAAGGCAAAAAGACCAAAAACCCAAAAATAATACAGTCTAGAAATATAGCCGTTACAGTGTTATGAGTCGACTCGTACTTTTCATGAGTCGACTCATAAGTAGCCGTTACAGGATAAAAACTAACTTATGGGTCGACTCGTAAAATTCATGAGTCGACTCATCATGCATGGGTCGACTCATGAATTCATGGGTTGACTCAGCAGAATCAAAACTAGTTTTCCAGCACACTTCATGAGTCGACTTATGACAGGCATGAGTCGACTCAACCTGATGGGTCGATTCATGATGTTATGAGTCGACTCGTCAGAACCAAAATGTAAACTACACAACAGTTTATGAGTCGACTCAATACTGTTCATGAGTCAACTCATGACATGCACACAGCCTGTTTTACACAGTACATGTCAACATAAAACAGAGTTTAAAAATATCAAATAAATTTAGAAAAATGTAAAACTTTGAAAAATGATTGTAGACATGATAATAAACATGCTACAGAAACTGGTTTTCAAAAAGGACTTTCCAAATGTAAAATATCATCATTTTGCAAGGAGGTCCAAAACACGAAAATGTAAACACATGAGTTTTGACATTTTAGCTAAACCATGTTTTGAAACTTTACACAATGATTATATAGACTTAATAAAATATGTATATAATTATTGTTAAGTCTAAAAACTAAGAATACAATATTTTCACAAAATATGTAATTTCATATATATGAACATGAAAACCCAAAACCGTGCATGTATATATAACTATATATATACGTATATATATAACTATATATATACATAGAAACCAAATACGTGTGTGTATATGTTATTGAGCTTAGAGTATTGAACACACATAATATAACACCTAAACTAATTTACCAAAGCTTGTGATCTTCAATGAACCTCTTCTTGGTAAACATTGCGGAAGAAGTTTAAACTTGGATCTTGACTTGAATGCATAGGTTTCACTCCACTATTTCGCCAACCTCCATTGAATATGATCGTTGAGTCTTTATTTCATCCATCCTCCAACATATTATTTGCCTAGAATAAATATAAAACACAAACACTAGACAAATAATATTAGATGTAAATTGTTTGTTAAATCATCATCAAAACAAGAAGGCCAATAATTTGTTTGATATTGACATGGATCTTGTGTTTGAATTTGTTGGGTAGTGTTCTTTTTCTTATTGTAGTTATTTGTTATATACGAAGCTATTTTATTGACTTTTGACATTTGATTTGATATTAAAAAAGTTATTTTTCTTGTTTCAGTTACTATGTCTTTGAATGAAGTTACTGCATGCGATGATGGTAGTGAAGCTGATAATGAAACTATATCTAAACGTAAAGGAAGAGCAAAATCAAAAGTTTAGGAGTATTTTACTGAGTTTCCTGTTGATAGTGATGGGAAAACTAAAGTTCAGTGCAAAAAATATGACCAAGTTTATGTTAGTGGTCATGATACCACAAATATGTTGAAGCATATTCATTCTTGCCCAAAACGGGATATAGATGAGGCTGATTCATCGTGGAAAACTATGCCATTAGATCAAGATAATTATAGAGATATGTTGACTAGGGTCATTGCATTGCATGGTTATTCATTTTGTTTTGTGGAACATCGAGGGATACGCGAATTACATACATTTTTAAATTCTGAAGTCAAGCATATCTTGAGGAACACCACTAAAGCTGATTTGCTTAAGTTGTACAAGAAAGAAAGAAAAAAAATTCTTAAACAAACTTTGAAGCTAGTTCCTAGCAGAATCAGTCTAACTACAGACTTGTGGACCACTTCAACATCAGATTACTACATGTCTCTTACTGCACATTACATTGATGAGCAATGGATCTTACAAAATAAAATATTAGCTTTGTCTCATGTTTCACCCCCATATAGTAGGGCAATTTTAGTAGAGAAGCTATTTCATTTACTAAATGAGTGAGGCATAGAAAAAAGAATTTTCACTGTTACATTGGATAATGTATCATGTAATGATGCTTTTATGAAAATTTTGAAAGACCATCCTGCTTTAAAGGAACATTTTGTCTCCAATGGTGAATTTTTGCATGTAAGATGTTGTGCTCACATTTTAAATCTTGTTGTACAAGATGGTTTAAAAATAATTGATAAACCTTTATCCAAGTTTAGAGAATGCATTAAATATGTGAAGAGTCCCTCCTGGAAAGAAGAAAAAATTTGTAGAGTGTATCAAACAAACTTGTTCAGTTAGTGAAAAGAAAATTCAGCAAGATGTGTCCAGTAGGTGGAATTCCACCTTTTTAATGTTGGAGAGTGTTTTACCTTTTCGTCAGGCATTTGAGCAATTGAAGTTAATCGATTCAAATTTTATATTTTGTCCATCAACTGAAGAATGGGTAAAGGCTGAAAAATAGCAAAGTTCTTGAAACCTTTTTATGAAGTGTGCACTCTTTTTTCTGAAAGTAAATACCCAACTTCTAACTTGTATTTTGGTGGAGTTTGGAAGATACAAAAATGCATAAAGGAGGAGATGACAAGTGAAGATGAAGACATAAAATCCATGGCAAGTGATATGAAGAAAAAGTTTAATAAATATTGGAAGTGTTATAGCAAGATTTTGTCCTTTGCATGCATCTTAGACCCCCGTTATAAGGTGAAGTATGTGGAGTTTTGTTTTCAAAAAGTGGGTATTGGTTCTATTCATGTGGTGATCATCTTGGATAAGCTAAAGCTTCTTTACAAAGAATATGAGAGAGCATCAAATGATATATGCATGACCAGTAGTAGTTCGGAAGAGGCGTTTGGAGATGTTCGTGATGATGAGATGCTTGAGTTTGAACAGTTTGAGAGCCAACTAGTTTCAGTCAGTAGGACTAAGTCTGAATTAGAAGAGTATTTAGATGAAAAGATGTTTTCTTGGAAGAAAAATGAGAACCTGAATGTTCTTGAATATTGGAAAGTAGAATCTAAGAAGCGTCCTCAATTATCCATGATGGCTCTTGATATACTTAGTATCCCTGTTACTTCAGTGGCCTTTGAATCTTCTTTTAGCATAGTTGGTCGTGTGCTTGATAAGTATCACAATCGTCTTCTTCCAGAAAATGCCGAAGCTCAAATATTCCTTGGTTCTTGGTTAGATGGGGTTCCTTGTAAGTTGCTTACTTTTTCTTGTTACCTTCTATAAATTTATGGTGTACATGTGTTATATTAGACTAGCATAGTTGTATCTTATGATCTAAATGCAGCTTTGGTAGATATTGAAGAAGGACTTTTGTTGGTGCATGATTTTAGTGATATTCTAAATTTTGAATCTGAAGGTGAAACCTAGATGTGTATTTTCTTTGAGGTAATTTGGATAGCCATGATAAATACAGTTGCATAGGAGCACAACAGTACAATATTACTAGCTTTTTTCAGTTCGAGGGAAATTCTATACATAAGGTTCTCTATGTGAAACGGGTAAGCGTGACATGCACTCCATAAAGATATCACAATAACTTTATTATCAAGCATTTTGTAGTTATTCTTTAGTTTTTGCCTATTGGACAGAGATTCTTATCTTAGGTTATTAGGACAATTGACTATGTCTACTAAAAAGGAATACTAATCTGATGCTTAACAAATCAGAAACTCTGAGACTCGCTTATGATATACTTTCTTTCTTAATGTAGGTTGGCTATGAACCTTACTCGAGCTTGGAGATTGACTGATCTTCGTGGGAAAACAGTTAAGTAACCTTACTCGAGCTTGGAGATTGCTGGTTCTTGTATATAAATGTTTTGGAGTTAAGCTGTGGGCATGATATATATTAATTTCTTTTGAAGTTTTTGCTGAGTACAGAGTAGACAACTAATGTTTATGTTGTTTGGTTTTGCAAGCATTCTTTACTGGTTTAACTATTTATTAGATGTTGTTTATTTAAAGATTAGCTGAATTAACTAATATTTCTTAACTTCTCTTTTTGGTTATTCTTTCATTCTTTCTTTCACCCATATGCTTAATTGCATTTGATGTTTGGTGCTGCCAGGCTCTAAACATTCTATTCAATCTTATTTGTTCACATCCAGCTCCACATACAGAACAAATTCCTCTTGTTTCATTCCTCATTGCTCTATTCAGCAGCAATGTAGTGCCCAAATTTCCTCATTGCTCACACACATTGCTTAGATCATGATGTATCCTTCTAAATTATGTGTTGTTTATGTTCAGGACCATTTGGGTGATGTGGTGTATGTGGAATTGCCTGATGTTGGAACAACCGTAACAAAGGGAAATAATTTTGGTGCATTTGAGAGTGTCAAGGCTACAAGCGATGCCTATTCTCCTGTTTCTGGAGAGATTGTTGGAGTGGTTTATGTCCAGGAATTTAGGTTCTGTAACTCTTCTTCAAGCTGATATGAAAGCCAAGCAGAAACAAGTAGAAACTGCTCTATTTAGCCTTCTTGGTCTTCTATATATAATGTCATATATGAAAGGACATATGTTTTCTATTCATAATAACAACAAAGTTTTTATTAGGATAAGAAACTTGTAAAAATAGGCTAATTCTTCATTTATTTTTAGTATTTGTTTCTCAGTTTTAAAATCCCCAAAAAGTTTGCAGAAAACCCCCAAATTTCTGCAGAAAACCCCTAAATTTCTGCAGAAAACCCCTAAAAGTCTACAGCAACTCCCTGAAAGTTTGTAGAAAACCCCCTGAAAGTTTACAGAAAACCCTAAAAATTTGCAAGTAGATCACTGAAACTTACATATATATAAAAGCATCATAACTAAATGAGTTATTGGGTCACCCTTGGGACCACCCATTTAGTAAATGAGTGGATGAGAAGTGACAAATTTAGCAAATGTTAAATGAGTCGTAAATGGTTAAGTGGTCATAAATGTGCCCACCCATTTATGACCCAACCAAGACCCAACCAAAACCACCCATTTGACATCCCTTTGATACATATCCGTCAATAAAAACTCTTTTTACCTTTTGTCACCAAATCAAGAAATAATGGGCAAATATAACAATTCAGAATTTGATCCAAAGGTACAAGACTTCTTTGAACCAATTTTTTCAGAACTCAATTAGGTTGTAAATCTCTCTTGTTCTAAAAACTTTTAAAGAGTTTATCAAGCTTGTTATTAGATGAAAATCTGAAATCCTACTTATCTTTTTACATACAATAACTAAAATATACAAATAATTTATTATTCTTGTCCTTTTTGATCTATAAGAAAAGCAAACATGACATTGAAAAAAGCTAAGATGATGGGTTAGGTCCAAGGAACAAGAGAAAAGAAAACAATCAGATGATAGAGGAGGATTTCGACGTATAATAATAGGAAGGGTATGAGATGAAGATGGTGGACAATAGAAACTTTCTCAATTTCCCTAAAAATATGTATAATTTGCAAAATTGGATGTGGGACTTGAAACCCGCAAATGAGCGTTATTAGTGGAGTACTGGAGAGTGGAAGTCATGGAAATTAATTATGAAATGTGTCATCAGAACAGAAAATTTTAGTTGTATAAGCATTGAAGTTGTTACAAATTGTAATCATCTTGGATAACTCGAGTGAATTATAATTTATATTTGCCAAATCTAGTTTCATCAATTTCTGACAGATGTTTATGATAGTTATTAAAATCAACAAAATTCATGAGATATTTCCTCACGTAGAGTAAGTATATAATGCAAACTTTTTTTTTTTGAGAAATATAAGAATGAAACTCTAGTAACTAGAGTTCCATCCTGCTTCCATTGCTATAGTTGTTCAAAAAAGTCTATACTCCCAGCTCCAAAAGTTTAGACTAAAAAGAAAGTAGCATTCTACATTGTACCGGCTGCTATTCCCCCATTAACCCTATTTACAACTAAAATATCACTGGTTATATCACCTAAAACTAATAGACATTCACATGTAAGCTCCAAGTTTTTAGTTCTTATATTTAAATCAAAAACCCCAAAATATTGTTGCAGATACTCGTTCTAGCAGATCATTACTCCAAATGAATTGGCCTATTGGCCCCTTCCCCCTCCATCAAGCTCTTCAATGCTTCCTTCATTATTGCCTGCAGCAGCAGCTACAGATGCCATCCTTCTAGCTCTCCGAGTCAGTAGACTCCTTGGTGTGTATTGAGAGAAGAATGACCTGACCAAAAAGTAGCAAAGTGGTTAATTTGGCCCAAAATCTCAAGTGCTTGTTTGGATTTCTAGAGGAATATACGGTTGTTTCTTTCATTCCAAATCACCCAGATTGTAGAGCAACTATACACAATCCAATGAATCTTGAGATGATCTGGAACAACCTCCATTCTCTAGTGCATAAACAAATCATCTAAAGAATTAATATCTCCCACTAAATGAAATTTATATTTAATGGAATTCCACACAGTAACAACAAAGGGGCAGTGTATGAAAAGATGTTCATGAGATTCATGAAAATTGCCACACAGAGCACAGTTGGATCCATATTATCCCCTTTAGAAATAAGTCTATCCTTTGTATTTAAACATCCTTGAAAAGCAAACCAAACAAAAGTTTTTACTTTTAAAGGTACAGAGTGCTTTCAAACTTCTTGAAAGACAATTCTACTCCCACCATCAACCAGAAATTGAAAATAGGACTTGGTTGAAAAAATATGTGACCCTTCCCATCTCCAAATTCTTCTATCAACATTATCATTAAGAGCTAAATTATCAATGATTCTCCTTAACTCCCAATATTGATATACATAATCACCTGCCAATTATCTAACAAAAGTAATGTTCTAAACAACTCTACCATGACTGACTTGAACAACAGAAGATATTGTAGCCCAGGGATTAGTGCAAGAGAAAACATATTTGGGAATCTATTAGCTAAAGGACACTCACCAATCCAAACATCGTTCCAGAAATATGTCTTATTTCCCTCTTCCAACACAAATTGAGGTACCACACAGAAAGCTATCAGAAATAGATGTGACATCTTTCTAGAATTTAGAGACATAATTTTTATGGCAAGTAAATTCAGTTGGTTATTGGGAATATAGTACTTGCAAAGAATCAAATCTTTCCAAAGAACATCAGTATTATTAAGCCATCTCCAATACCACTTTCCTAACAAAGCCAAATTCATACTTCTTATATTTAAAACTCCCAAGCCTCCCTGCCATTTAGATTTACAAATAATATTCTAGTTCACCAAGTTAGAAGCCTGTTTGATGTCTCCAGAACCAATCCAAAAAGAAATGTCTCCTAATCTATCACAAACCCACTTAGGAAAGTTAAAAAAGACATCCAAAAGAGAGGGATTGATGATAACACAGAGTTAACTAGTGTCATCTTCCTCCCTTAGATAAGTTCTTTCCTTTCCAAGTACTCAATCTATTCTCAAACTTTTCAAAGAGAGGCTGTCAGTCAACTTTAAAAGTATTTTAAGTCTTAAAGGAACTCCTAAATATGTTATAGAAAAAGTTCCTTTCACACAGTTCATACACATAGCAATTTGAGATTGGAGACCATGGTTATGTTCCAAAACGATTACTGAACTCTTAGCAAAGTTTATCTTAAGACCAGAGGCTAATTCATACCCATACAACAATAATTTAAGCATCACTAAGCTCTTGTGATCCACTTTACAAAATAAAAGAGTGTCATCTGCATATTGCAGACTCAAAACCGTTTTAGTAAATGTATTAGGACCAAAACCTTGAATAAAACCAGCCTCTGCAGCAAGATGAAGCATATGGGTGAAAGCATATGCTTCTAAAACAAACAATAAAGGCGACAAATGATCCCCTTTCCTCGACCCTCTTTTGGAAACAATCCATTTACCAGACACCCCATTTAATAAAATGGCTGATTTACCATCACACAAACAAGATTTAATCTAACATATGCTCCTAGGACCAAAACTGTTTGCTTTCAGCACATCTAGAATAAAACCTTAATCTAACAAATCATAAGCCTTGGCAAAGTTAACCTTAAAAAGCATTTCTCCTTTCTTTTTCCTCTGAAAACAATCTGAAATAACCTCTTGAGCAGTCACCACACCATCCATAAGATGTCTACCCTTAATAAAACCAGTTTGGATAGGATCAACCAAGAGGTGAAGCTTTTCATTTAATCTATTTGTGATCATTTTGGTGATAATCTTATAAACAACATTGAGAAGACTTATAGGTCTAAAATCACCTAACCTTGAGCATCTATTTTTTTGGTAATAGGATAATATGGGCATAAGTAAGCCTCCCAATACCTAACCTTCCCTCATGAAATTCAATAAAAAGTCTAAAAATGTCATGGCGAACAACTTCCCAAAACTCCTGGAAGAAGAGAGCAGAAAAGCCATTTAGACCTGGAGATTTGTGATCATTCATACTAAAAATAGCTTCCTTAATCTCATTCATAGAGAAAGGACTTTCCAGAGTCTCAGCTCCCCAATCATATGGAGGAAAAAGTATACTGCAGTTGATGTCAATCCTGTTTGGCATACAATATCTAAAAATGCTCTTAAAATGTCTATAAAAAAATTTGCAATACCATTAAAAGAACTTACCTCCACATCATTAACATGAATAGCGCATATATCATTAGATCTTTTTCTACCATTTGCTATTTCATTAAAATAAGTTGTGTTTAGGTTACCCTCTTTGAGCGAGTGTTAGCTCTTTGTTTCCATG